TACCCAGTCTTTCCCTTTTTTCTATAGCATTTATCACCTTTTAGCACAGTATAAAATTTGCCTAATAGGTAATATAAACTGCACAAGAACCAGAATATCTGTTTTCATCACTGTTCTATCCAAACGTGTCTAGTACAGCTATTGGTATATAGTGTGATTAACATTTTTGAATGATTGTGTAAAATATGGTCATGGCACAAGTGAAGTATGGAATCTATTCAGTAGTTAACAACAATAGAGCTGCTCACAGTAGCCAAGTCATGGGATCAGCCTGGGTGCCCATCAACAGAAAATGTGCTGCATATATACGTAGTGGAGTGTAACTCAGCCATGCAGATTGAAATTTTGTAATCTGTGGGCAAATCAATGGAATTGGAGATTATTATCTTAAATGAAACAAGTCAGACTCAGTGAGACATGTATCACATGTTTTGCATGCCAAATCTAGATTTGATGGGGTCTATTTAGGAAAAAGAAGGAGACAAGTGGGGAAAGAGAGAGAATGAGAAATGGACAGGGGAATGGGTGAGCACGATCAAAGTAAGTACATCAGTAACCTCTGATCAAATAATAATAATAATAATAATAATAATAATAATAATAATATAAAGCTAAAGTAGATAAATTAGAGGAATTTCCACAAGATACTGCTGAATGAAAAATGTTCAGGATTGAGTATGTTCTTCTTCTTGTAAAATAATATTTAAGTGTATTTGTGTCAGCACTTGTGAATTTAATTTTTAGGACTGCAGAGGAAAAACTGTGCTTCCAAGTTGAGTATTTCTAACCTGATCTACCTGGAACCAAAAGTGTTCTGGATTCAAGGTTTGGAGAGGGGGAAAGACATATATAGATATAGACAGATATATAAATCATCATTGGAATGAGGCCCAAGTCTAAATAGAGAATTCATTCATGTTTCATATATACCTTACAGAGTGCCTGAAGGTAATCCTATACAAAATCATTAGCGTACCTGGATTTTGATCAACTCCTCACATGAAGCTAGGTGTGGCGTGTCCCACTTCCACTTCTGGTATTAGACATCCAAAAGGTTTCAGATTTTGGAGCACTCAACCCATACATAGTGTTCAAAATCTGATGATGAACTGACTTATTATGAATAGAACTGTCCTTTCCTTGACATCAGTTCTGTCACATATAAAATAGGATTTTGTTACATGGCTTTTTTGCTGTTGCTGCATGTTCATGCTCTGTCACCAGCCACAAGGACAGTGTCTAACAGTTGCAACTATTCCATAAATACTTGTTTCATTAATCAATTATTTTTAATTATAAACAAATTAATTATTTGTAGCTGTTATCACAGAAACAAAATACAGAGTTTCAAGAAAATTTTAGGTGGTTCGTTGTGTATTTTTTTTTTAAATCTATGACAACAGCTGGAAACCAAAGCCTCAGTGGGTTCCAAAGGTGAAATGTGAATGTGTGAACAGGGAACACACGGCATTAAGACAGGCATTATGGCGATTATTGTTTCCTCTGATTATATTTCCAGATTAGTTATCATCAGCCACCAGGAAATGTAAATAAACATCTACCGGCAGAATTTTAGCCCTAGGATTAAAATCCATTGGTTCTTAAGGAAGTCACCTTCTAAACTAATTAGCAAAACATGTAATTGCACAGAACCTAGTCTTCCTGTATTAATATTTATCATGGTGATCTTTATTTACTTTTCTTTTTAGAGTTTTTTTAAGCATTTTTTCTAACCTACACAATTTTTACTTGCCTTTACTTTTTTTCAAATTTTATTTATTATTTTTATTTTATGTGCATGTGTGTATTGCGTGCACGTAGGTTAAGTGCACCCATGTTGTGCAGTGCCCGTGGAGGTCAGAAAAGGCTGTCGGATTCTTATTCTATTTTTACAAACTGAGTATTGAAGCTTTATTTTCAATAATTATTTTATATTTGAGATTTCACCTCACCAAAATGTCTCTAATGCAAATCCTTTAGTGAGAAGTGTCTATGTTGGTCTGAACGACAGGGAGTTGATACTGTAGAAGGCACAGGAACCTAAGAGGTAGCCATTGGTTTCAAGACCATCCAAATCTCTGGGTGTCAGTGTCCTCACCTATAAAATAAAAATCTGCCTATTAAAGTACATCTGGAGTTCTTTTAAACAGAAGTATTTGGAATCTATCAGAATCTACTCCCTTTACTCTATTGCTCTCAAACACACTTTCTCTTCCTCTCCTTGAACTGTTCGCCTAGTTTTAATGGATGATTGTCTTGTTACCAAATCGAGAGTCAGTATCGACAAACAGGAAAATACCAATCAGTATATTCACAAGGGTGCACCTTTATGGGACCAGTATAAGAGAAGAGTATAGCCATTGTAGGCCATTGTTCTAGATAATTGGAGTTCAAGTGAGGAGATACCACTGAAGGAAATGCTTCACCAAATGGGGTGCGTCCAAAGAAATAAGGTCCCTTTAGAAAGGGAATCCCAAATCAGCCTGGTGAATGCAACTGAGGTGGAGTTTCTTGTGAGATTCCTCAAGCTTAGTCTGGATTCTATTTTCTGAACTTGAAATCAACAGATAGCTTGAATTTCAGTCATTTTGTAAAACAGAAGTGTTACACAAGCACACATGCTATAAACACATGATGAAAACATCTGTAATTTTCAACACATGTTCTAAAATGCTAAATTCTGAAACTTGTTTAAACTAAAGAATATGAGTATTTTGAAGTAAAGTCTTTAAAATATCCACTAATATAACTCTTACCTTCTAGACCCCTTAACATAAGGTCAATTAGGACTTACACAAGGTAATTTGAACAATAATTACGAATTGAGACATGGAGCTGGAGAGATGGCTCAGCAATTAAGAGCACTGATTGCTCTTGCAGAGGTCCTGGGTTCGATTCCCAGCATCCTCATGGTAGCTACCAACCATCTGTAACCTCAGTTCTAGGGGATCTAATGCCCTCTTCTGACCTCTGCAGGAATTGCACAACATAAGTGCACTTACATGCAGGCAATAAACTCACACACACACACACACACACACACACACACACACACACACAAATAAAAAATAATAAAATATTAAAAATTACTTGAGACACCAAGAAACGGGTAAGGGATGTATGAACATTCATGCTGAGCTCACATACTCAGCTAAAATCTTCTGTGTGGTTTCAGCTTTATCCTCAGTGTTTAGAAGATGAAAAAGCTATGGCCTACTTTAAGGTTATTTCTGAAATCAATGACCCTGTCCATGACCTTGTGATTGAATATCTTGGAATGATAATCTGTCTACAATAGCTTGGATTTATTGTGAGCAGCAATCTACATGGTAAGCATTCTAGCTGTAATCTGGATGAAAATCTGTCTTTTATAAACTAAACTAGGGCGGCCAATAAAAGATAAGTGTCTATAATGCTACAACAGTGTATGATTTCAGAAGCCGTGCATTCCATCCCCCCAGGAAGTACTGCCAACTTAAATACATGAAAAAAACAGACTGAAATGAATGAAAACATCAAAAGAAAGTACACTGGCCAGCTGCTTCTAAAAAGTCTAACGAGCAACATAAAAAAAAAAAAAAAAAGGATTGTGTAATAACTTGTTTCTGAAGAACTGGTGATTCTTAAGACCTATAGTTAATTTTCTTAGTTAATTACCAATATGCCAGAGACCCTCAAGAAAACTCCATTTGGGAATTTTCCATGCTTAGGAATGAAATAAAGGCAGCCTGTCAATGCTTTAAAGAAGTCATGTGATGATAGTTACATTTGTTTGGCTTTGGAAGAATGTTGATTTTTAAGTTTGGTCATTTGGCAACATTTGTTCAATACATCATTAATTCAAATTAAGTATTAACTCTTGGCTGTTTGCTCTTATATTTGAATATTCTTCCAAATGGCTAACGATAAAAGTTAATACGTGGCTTATTTTTTCCAGCTTTGCTGTGGACGTTTGTGGGTCATGTTGTGAATGCAGCACTATTTAGAGATCTAATATAGCACAGTCTTCTGCTCTTTGCCTGCTCTTTTTATCAGAAGCTGGGGGGGGGGCATACTCGGATGAAGGGGGAGTGTCTCAGGATGTGTCCTTTGAACTGCTATTTGTCTAAATATGTGATAACAAAGCAAAGGAAGGACAAGGGAGAGAAGAGGCTGGGAAGACGGTGTGGCCTGGATTCATGGTGTATGTTGTTCCATAAAAGTCAACAGAATGTTCTAGAAAGAACATTCCATGAGCTTTCCATTCCAAAGCCTAATTCACGAACTCAGCAGAAAGTATAACTGCAGAATTCCTCTTCTCACCTCTTAAATGAGAGAACTACAAGTAACCTCAGGAGCGCCAGTAAAGTCAAATGATCCGGGCAAAGTACCAAGCATGGGCCCTGCTGGCACAGTGGCTCTGCTAACCCTGAGTGCATCTCTCCTGACTCTCTGGCTCTGGCTCTTTCTGCTCTGCTAACCGATCAGGGCACAAACTAAGTGTTCTAAGGTGGTAACTCCAGATCTGGAATGCTCCAGTAGCCCGCATTCCTAGGCCGCTGCATGCCATGGCCAACATCTGCAGTGCTCTCTCACACAGAGAGTGCAATGTGTGCTGCCCTGGCCTCAAGCCTGTACATTCTGGAAGGAAATAATACAAAGTCAGAGAAAAATTCAAAAAGCTAAACGAACTGGTCAGAGGCAGACAGCTCGTAGGGGAGGCCTCCTGCCCCGGCTCCCGGGCCTGCTCTGCTGCCCGGCCCATCCCAAGGGAAGCATAGAGTCCGCCTCCGCGGGAGGAAAGGTGGCAAGCGGGGCGCCGGGAGGAGGCCGCGGGGCGCGGGGAGGAGGCCCCGCGGGGGGAGACGGACGGCCGCCCGGGAGTCCCGGGCCGCACCGCGGATGGCGGAGGCCGGCAGCTTCCTGCAGGAGCACGGCGGGCGCGGTCCCTGACCCGGGACGTGGCCCTGCGGCCCGGCCAGAGCGGACAGCGAGGACCAGGGCGCGGGCCGCTCACCCACCTTGCGCACGCGGCGGGCGGTGTAGAGCCCCATCCCGTCCTGGACCCGGGACGACTTGAGGGCGAACCTGTCCGGCACGTACATGCCCAGCATCGTCCCGCAGCGCTCTGCCCCGCGCGCACGTGGAGATCGGGTGCGGGTGAGGGGCGGCCAGGAGGAGGAAATGAGCTCTGCTCCCAGAATCCCCACCTCCCCTCGGCTCCCCGCGGCCCGGCCCCTCCTCGGCCCCGGCTTGCGCGGCCGGAGCGGCGGGGCGCCCGGGCCGAAGTTGGCGGCGCCCGGCCGAAAGCCCTAAACTCCAGGGCCGGGAGCCACTGGCCTTCTGCGACCGCTCGTTCCGCCGGTGGCCAAAGCTGCCCTCCTGAAGATCTGTCCCTTTGGGGGCAGGTGTTGTGTTGTGTTGTGTTGTGTTTTTTTGCTTCTCTACCAATGCACAACGAAATGGGCCTTGGCCCAGCCAGGCGCATCTTCCAAAACAGCTGTATCCTGGCCACAGCCTTGGGACCCACCCTGAAAGTCTGGGAAAGCCCAGCTTCCCACTTCTGAGTTGCAAGTCTTGGTGGTTTTCGTTTCACAGGTTTGAATTCATAGGAGACCAGAAAGTAATGTTCGGTAACATGCAGAGAAGGGAGAGCTGTACAGCTTGCAAGTTATTTCAAGTTGAAAATTGGTCACAAACATTTAAGTAATATTTAAAGGAGTAGAAACTAGTTCTTTTATAGTGAGGGAGACTCTAGGATGTGATTGTGCTTTCCACCATACAGGATTGCTGAGTTGTTTTATTATTATCATCGCCAGTGTTGTTAGGGGCAGAGCCTGGGCCCTTACAACCTCAACAAGTCAGTTAAAAAGAAAATAGTGAAAAGCAGAAAATATTTATTCATTGGGAAGAGGAACAATGACGGCCAGTGACCACCCCAAGTCGATCTTCAGGGACCTGGCATTAGATTTGATTTAAACAGGAGGCAAGAAGTATTCACACCTAAGTAGTGCTGGTTAAAGCATGGTCCCACCTATCACCTATTCACCAGTTATTTTGGCTCCAGTCTTTCTTGCAAGGTAGACTGACAAGGTGTCAGAACTGTTAAATCTCTCCCTGGGGGATAAGCTCCTCTGACTGGCACCAGGTTTCACTTTCCTTCCTCCTAAAATTCCTGGGGAAATTCCAGCTTACTGGGGGCTGTTTCAGTAGTCTGAAAGCCTATGGAAGGGGTACAAGCATCTCTCTCCATGGACTATTTTCAGTCCTGCCTTGGCCTGGTGTGGTTCCGAAGTTTTGGGGCCTGATTTTTCAGATAAGGTTTTTAACAAACTCCAGTGCGCACATATGTTCCCAATCTAATAAATTTTAAAATTCTATCTTTGGGCCTGTAGGAAGGAGAAAGATATTTATAAGTCTGTGCCTCCTGGTTGGTACTGGTGGTGTACAAACATAGAAACATTCTACACCTGCATTGCCACTCAAAGTGGATCCAAGTTCTGGTTCATAAAATGGAGACACCCAGGATAAGGCACAGCATGAAAGCCATGGTTTCACACAATACCGAGTGATACAGCAGACACAGCTGGGTCTCCACACCTGCCTCTAGATACCTTGTGAGCCCAAGTGAGGAGTCAGTGCTTTTAAAAAGCAGCTTCTACCATGCCTGTTTTAAACTCCCCATTTATGACTACTGGTCAGAAATTTGACTTACAGTTGGCACACTCTATCACACTATGGCTTACAGTCTTCTTAGCTATTAAATGGGAATGTTCTGAAGATCTACTAAGACATGGGAACCAGCCGTAGAAAGGTTTTCATATATGCTATAATGCATTAAAAGGATCTATGCAGATCAAAGTTCACAATCCTGCCTGGAAATTTGATTTTAAAGTCTGTAAAACAATGCTATTACAATGAGTCATTTCTTAAAACTTTAAAAGACAGAGTGATGTTTCAGTATTATCTTTGAAAAACTGAAAATTAGAAGTCTACTTTATATCAAAAGTTTAAATACAATCTTAAAAATAAATAAGAGAATAAAGGAGTTAATATTTAAAGTATTTCCATGCACCTGATTTACTAATTCTAGAAAATATTAGACTGTCTTGCACAAGAGAAATAAATAAAAGTGCATCTCTCTTTACTTTCAAATTCCCTTTCATAGGATTGCTTATTATTAGTCTTCCTAAAACAAGCTCTAGTTATTAAATTCAAACTTGTTTATCTTTTTTTTTCATTTCAGGAAGACTTGAATTGTAACTGTGTATTAGTTATTTTACCACACATACCATTAAAATCTCTTGACTGTGTTTCAATTAAAATGGCCGTTTCCAGATACCATAGTAGAATAAAAGCTTAATAGGAAAACAACAATAATACAGAGATTTACTTATTTTTTATTTTCCTGAGATGCTGATGGATTTGTGTGTGTGTGTGTGTGTATGAGAGAATGAATATAAAACCAAATTTTCAAAGCAGAAAAGAAGAAAAATGTATTTGTTATCAATTGAAAAGAAGAGGGGAAAGGAAGGAGGGAAGGAGGGAGGGAGGGAGAGAAGGAGGGAGGGAGAAGCATAATTCCAGTGCTCCTGAGGCTGAGGCTGAGGCAGGAGGATTGTGTTTTAAAGACCAGCCTAGAACACAAAGTAAGACCCTGTCACAAAGGGGAGGAGAGTGGTAGGAAGGAAAGGGAATGGGAAAAGAGGAGAGTCTCTAAATTCTAGAGTAGGGGAGTCTGAGTCATACTTTGAGTCTATTTCTCTTCAGCCCTGATTCCAAAATAGCAATAGCGCTATACCAGGATGGTACCTAACCTTAAAAGATCTGGACACACGTGATTGGGACCAAAATGAATGATGCTTTAAAAAGAAAAGCTGAAAATAAATCACTGGCCATCTCACCTGAAAGCAGTATTGCTCGTGGGACACATCATAGGGTAACAGGAAGCCAAGGGACTTGGGTGGCGGAAACCTAGAGTAAGGTTTCATGTACTAAGTACTTAGAACATGGCAGAAAAGTCTAGATTCTGTGTATTCATAACCTTAAAGACCCAGTTGCCCTGATGAGGCCTGAGAAATAAGGAATCAAGCAACTGGTAAAGAAGATGGTCAGCTAGAGGTGGTTAGGGATTTTCTGGTAACACAGCTGTTCCCATGAAAGAAGAATGCACTAGAACACAAAGGCTGTGCGTGTATACACCTATAGCCTGAATATCGTTTTCTAGGTAAGCCAGTTTCTAATTGGAAACTCTAGGGGGGGGGGCAAAAAATCCTCTCATGACTTATGATCAGGTTTCAGCTGGGGCAAGCACTAAATATTCCTGTTATTATTGAACTCTTATAATCCAAAGGTACCTAGTAAATGACTGAGAACTGAAAACAGCAAACTTTAGGACTTAATCATACATGATGTCCTTCAAAGATAGTTTAAAAGATGAAACACAAGATCCAAAGCCATTCCCAGAGACAGATAAAACAAACTGACTTATACAACCATCCCACTGCCAGTACTAAATTAATAATCTACAAAAAGGTACAGCCCACATTTCTGACCAGCATGCTTTGGTGGCCCCAACCTAAAATTGCCAACTCAGCCTGACTGCTTACAGGTGTTGTATTTCCCACAAGGCTTATCAATAGCTGTCATTAGCTAGAATGTCTTTGCCTTTGTCAAATGTTACAGTTTCAATATGAAATGTCTCTGAAAAACTAATGTATTGCTGGCTTGGTTCCCATGGCAATGTTCAGAGTTGTGGCTTTTGGAAAGTGATTGGATCATGAAGATGCTTACCCAATCAATGGGTGTAATCCATAGATACATTTATAATTTGATACCATTATTGGAAGCTGGTAGAAACTACAAGGTGGAGCCTAGTTGAAGGAAGTAGGTGACTGGGCATCCCCTTTAAGGACATATTTGTCTGTGGTACTTCTCATTCCTGGTTGCTGAGGTGAGCAGCTTTTCCCACCATGCCCTTTCTACCACTGTAGCAGCCAGCCAGCCACTGGAACTTCTGAACCTCTGAGACAAAGTAAAGCTCTTCTCCTTAGTGGATTTTCATTTGTGGTCTGTTCCAGTGATACAAAGTAACTAACACATCAAGATAGACAATGAAAAGGTCACTCTGTGGTCAGTTCAACTTGGTCTACTCAACTGTGTCTACAAGAAGACATGATGGTACTTAATCCAGGAAGGCCTGTAAGGTAACACCTGACTTTTCCAGAATTTCTCAGGACCTGGCAGATGTTTATCCTGCTTACAACTACATTCTAGCTCATTCATAAATTCTTAATCCATAGAAATAATAAGCATCTGGCTAGGTATGATGATACATGCCTTTAATCCCAGACCCCTGGAGACAGAGGCAGGTGAATCTTTGTGAGTTCTAGGCCAGCCTGGTAAACATAGCCAGCTCCAGACCAGCCAGGACTATAGAGAGAGAGACTGTCTCAAAAACTTATAATAGCATCTGTAATTAAACAAATAATATTACTAATGTTCTTGCACTGATTTTTTCCCCTTGTCCTTTATTAAATAAAACAAAATAGTGACTTGAGCTCTAAACTGCTTTTAAATCAAAGAGCACCATCTAACAAACTATTAGCTCCTTTTAAATTACTATGACTATACCTTGCGACAGACCAGGCCAGACCAGAGCACTCAGTCCGACGGGAACAGGGAATCGGAGAGTGACAAGGATTCGGTGAGTGACAAACAGACACAACACAAGAGATGGTTGATGATCTGAATGTAATTTTCTAAAGTGGAGCATCAGATTTTATACAAGTTACAGAATAAGATTGTGCAAGCATCACATTGATTTCATGGTTAATCATTTTCTTAGAAATACAATCCAAAATCAAAGCAACACAGTACAGTGTACAGTGTTCTTATCTAATTAATCAGGTGCTTAGACTGTTTGTCCTTTCCCTTAGTGGTTTGGCAACATCAGCTACTTATGAATTTCATGGTTGGTAATTTTATGGTTCTGTTTTCTCAATTTTGAGGTTTCGGTGGCCGAGGCCAATGACTAGGTCAGCGAAGTTATAATAACTCCATATAACTTCAAAGGCTTGATTCTCTAATCCATATTTTCCTATTCTTTCTTTCTTTTCATGTTTCTTATACTGCCTGTAATTGTTCAAGTATACTTTGCTGCACTGACTTGTAGTAAAGGCACCAAGGTGGTCTGGATCTCACTAACCTATCCATAAACTATAGTGAATACCATGAAACTTTCCTTCCTTGAATAT